CTCTGAAGAAGTCGATTCCAAAATCTGTTTTTCGATCGAGGCGCATGAATATTCATCACGCTTTTGGACAGACATGGTCACTAGATTATTGAGGCATTTGATCGCTTCATAAAAGGTCATTGGAGAATAAATCCAGTAATCCGACAGTCATATTCGGCGACTTTTCAGAGTAACGATCACGTAACTAACGAAACGAAAGAGGTTAATTGTAACGCTGTACACCCTGACCGTTTGGGCGAGTTTATTGGAGGCCTAGAGTAAATTATAAACTTTATAAGATTCCTAGTCTGACAAGCTGCTGGAAAATTCATTTTTCTGACCACCGATGAATAGCTAGAAAGTTTCGTTTCCACTTTTGAGTCCATTCTCTAAAGCGTGTAGCTTAAGTTTGCGCCCAAATCACCTTACGTCATCCTAGCATGCTGTGAACTGCGCGGGAGTAGTACAAAGTTACTACTCTATATTGCAAGTGATCCACACCGGAAAAGGTACCCGACTACTCATCGCTCTGCTTATTGTTGCGCCTTGTCTCTTGTCTCAAAAAGCTCTGCTTAGAGTTAAGCGTCTTCCTGTGATTTATCCTTGTTTTCGTGCCGGTGGGATCGAGATGGGAATCTTAGACTGCTTGCATTATCCCCTCAAGAGTTACGCGCTACAACTTGCAATTCCCAAATTCGATCGGGTTACTTGATTGTGCCGTGAAGACCCTTCACATACTGTAATTCGAGATCGGCCAGTCTTCAACTCACTGGCCAATATCAATCAATGGATCGAGTGGATTTTTGACAAAACTGGTCAGCTTAACTTGTTTCCATGAAATGGATGTATTTGACGTTTTTTGTGCTCTTTTTTAACTCAAACAACGCATAACCTTCCAAAATCAGCCTCTGAAATGCGGTCTGCAGACTTACTCAAATATATATCAAAATGCGGGGTCCCCGGTAAGCCAAACAGCCAAGATCAGGCGCCTCGTTTAGTTTTTAAGATGAACCTGACTCTCCAGCCCTGTCAGCAACTGAAGATCCGGTCTCATTTTTTTCTGAGAAACTTCAACGAATTGCATGCCGTTGTGTGCACAGCGCCCTCTCGGTCGCTATGGTGACTGACGGTCATTGACCGTTTCCTTGTCTTTTCCCGACGGATCCACCGGGGACTTTCAGTTTCACCTCAAAACACTGTCTGCACTATACTGAGGCTTTACGTAGATTTACACAGAGTGTGAAATAAAAAACAAGCCGACCGTTTAAGATTCACGGACGCCACTGATAAACAAGACCAATTATATGGAAATCCAGCAATCTGCGATAGTCAGTACACAGCTGCAACATACATGTTTAGAATAAGGAAACTGGTCAGCTGTCAACGCTACTTGTTAACACCCAATGTGGATTGTCGTTTGCTCCACATCCGAGTAGATTACGGTGCTTTGATGATGGTCATCGAGCTAACCTATGTACACTGTACAACTTAATGTAAGATGAACATAATTTTGCTTTGTTCCTTCAACTTTCTTTTGGGACAGCGGAGGGTTTTCGAACACTGACAAAAAAACGCACAAGCATTATTCCACAATAGTTATTCACACTTTATTCTTCTGCTTTTGACCACCAAACAGTCAGAAGTCTTTGTAGAGATTTCTCCTGTAAGTGGAGCCAATCTGTGCTGAGAAGCCGAGAAGCACTGTACAGCTCTTTCCTCCTTATTGGGAATCATCAGAAGTGTGCAGGACTTAAAGCGGGCTGAGGTGGACATTCCATAGCAAAAAGCATCTTACGCCACTCAGGTTTGCTGGAAACTGGTCTATCCGCCTCTAGAATAGTCCAAAGTATACTATTTGCACTACATTTTGGAGGGCATTGCACTAACAGAGCAGCCTGACCGGCAAGAAAACATCAATCCGGAGTGTCTACTTTTTGGTTTCTGTAACTTAGGCCAATAGCCTCCAAATAGCTTGATCGATTTTTCCATGAAAACTATTTTACCACTATTGTAATTAAATCTTCTTTGATAATTCAGCGCACATATATAACGTCTTCATAAAGATAACGGTGGTCTAGGCTACACTAACTTTGATGCTGTAAACGATCAATATAAGAGGAGGTGCAACCTACAAAACGTGTTTCTTCTCTTAGCATCTCTTAGTGAACCTTGAATAGTAGAGACGAGCGATTCGCACTCCAGTACACATTGAAAATAGGAGGAGAAAAGTAGTCGTAAAAACCTCAGAAATAAGAAGTATAAGGTTTTTGCACGCCCAAAGCATTCTGTATTCTGCTGCAACTGAGCTTTATGTGTGATCATACCCATATTTTGGGGTGGTAAAGCATTAAGTGTTTCTTCACAGGCTACACAAAGCAGGTGTTTTACAATATGGTGCACCTCATGAGATTGTCGGTTGTTTCGGTGAAACATGTAGATGATCGGTAATCGCCGGAATTCATAAAGGAAACCAAACGTGCAGTGAGTTCCGGGTTGTTCGAAGCTCATCGGCTGCGCTACTAGACGCTGCAGGTTCCCATATGTTCAAATGGTCTACAAACAACGCACACTCAATTCCCACTACGTTTGCGAGGTAGTCGCTTGAAGAAACCTAGAGGATTGTGGACCGGGCAGACGTCATGGGCACTCGTGACCTTGGACAGCGCTGATGAGACATCATCAGCCCACAAAGCGCTGTACCTATTACAAAGTGGCAACTCAAATGTAAAATACTACCGTGGAATACGCAACCCTGACCTGGATCAGCAGATATTAAGTTATCGGAGTGCTTACTGAAATAATTGTATACAACATCCAGTTGACTATTGATATTCAAAGCACTTATCAATGTTTTAGAGGGGGTTATTGTTACACGATTATGACTTCCAAAAGCCATGCTATTGGAGTGCCAAGGCACCTATGCTTTCGATTGAGGGCAAGGCGACTCAGTGTTTACAGCGTGAATTTACGGACTAAAAGGTCCATCGTTCGAGTCCGACCTCTGCCTCTCGATGTCTATGCTGCAGTATTCCAGCCCTTGTGCTTCCCTTCTGGTACATGGTAGTTAGACACCAAAATGATGCCACAGCTGAATGAATAAAATAAATAAATAAATGTATGAATAGTTTCAATGTGCTGTCTTACGTTTACCTTGTAAACCATCCTAATCACTTTATCAATAAAAAGCTTCAAGCTTCAATAGGGTGATAATAACTGTGGTTATGTTTGTTGCTTCTCCTGAAAGTTATCCTTGCCAATGTAGTTTACTGCAGCTGACTGGGGTTTTTACACCGGCCGTTGAGAGTTAAAAGTTCAGGTTGGCCATAACTCAATCATTAGTTTGAGGGCCTGCAGATGTAACCAATCTGGGCTTAGGGCAATAATTCTGCCAACACTAAACTCAATAAATGTTGGTTCTGCTGGTGACTTATTAGCAGTCGAATATTAGTAGCAAGTTGCTATTTCTAGCTTTAAACGAGCAACACGGTTCACAATTTATGCTAGTCGATAGATGAATGAAACCGGGTAGATGAAACCGCCTGAAATTAGACACCCTCGTCTGAGTGCATTGTCAATGGCAGCAGCAGCTGTAAAAAACCGAGTAGTCTTCGTGTAATTCCTTTAGTTGCCGCAGTTTTGTTCACTGGTGATTTGGGGAGATGTAGAAAGGTACTCATTGGAGGCGATATCTGACATAATTGATGAGTAAGTACGGGGTTATCAGTAATCTTTCCACTGGGGACATTGGGAGAGAAGCAGTGGATCGAAGTTGATAGCTTGGATTTACGAGCGCCCGTATCTGACAATGTCTTCAACCACTGACGTGTCTCATCTCCGGAGCCTCATCCAGGGAGGTGACAATGACTAACGCAGTTGGATTTGCTGGTTTTTTATTTGGCCAGCCCTGGCTTGTTACCAGCCTTTGCATTAACTATCAGATTATTCGCAGTTAGGTCACCAAATGCCTTTGAACCAGTTCCTCACAGGCAAAAAGTGAAATCCGTAGACTCCGTGGTTTTCCGGGCCACACAGTCAGAATCCGGATCGCTATGATAGGATACTGAGTGGATGTCAGAATGGATTGTGCGTTTTGATATCCGACTATTGGTCCTAGCGGAGGTGCCTTGCAATGCCACTGTGTGGACTTAACAGTAGCTTCTACTAAACACCATATCCCTTGTCTAGTGTGAGTGACTTTTTCATGTAAATTAATCCATCATTCAGGTCCTCAGACGACGACTGAGCTGAAAATCTGGAGATCATCAGCTGCGCTGGTCATTGCCGTCTTCCTGGATGGGGACCCCGAGACAGGCCATATCAATGGTTAGAGATATTGTCATATATGCCCAGTCGCATCCTCAATGGCGTTCATGCATCCAAGCTATTGCCTTCAATGCTCCCTTCCCAATCCCCCACCCTACTTGACAGTCCACCTACGATGCAATCTTTGGGTAGTTTCATCCATGAAGGTGACCATGAGAGCCCTCAATGGCGCTCATGCATCCAAGTTATTGCCTTCAATGCCTAGCTCCTTTCCCAATCCTCCCACGTAACAGTCGACCAACGGTGCTGTATTTACGCACTAATTTATCAACTCCCGCGTGGCTACCGACCCCACCTCCCCGAATTATCGGTGAAGGAAACTGTGGCTGTTACAACCACTGTACGACAACTACGCGGTTATTACAGCTGGCAATGATGGTAATGATGGTGGTGAAGACATCATGACTGAAAAATGTCGAACAGATCGCACCGAATTCCGGCAATTTGGATTTTCGTGATTGATAATTGCGAGAGGTAGCCCCCCCCCCCCAAACTGCTGTTCCTTTCGCTTCCACAACACATTTGCGCTTCCACCAACATGCTCATATCCGTGAATATTATGGTTGCGAGCTATCTAGAGCGGTAAAGCTACGAGATACCCTATTCTCCTTTATATACCGGTAATATCTAACTCCAGCATGAATAATAGGCTTACTGGTTCTCACCTTACTTCACCAGTAAAAGCTCCGGAAGGTACCTTATAACAGTTTTGCGCGGCCACATGAAAGCGTTTGTCCAGCTTCTCACGGACGCTTGGGAGATAGAGCGACGGTGGAGCAACCAGGACTTCTGAAATATTTGAGAAAAATATGGCTCATTATGATTTTGCACAAAAACATTACAGTTTTGTGCCTACGTGATCTCAGTTACTAACCTGTGTTTGGATCAATCTTGGCATGGGTAAGCATTTCAATAAGTTTATCGTTCTCCTTCTTACTACCATTCATTTTCCAGTTGCCGCCAACAAAGAACTTTCTGTCTGTGGGCATTGATAGGCAAAAATTCCACTGGGGGCGAGAACACAAAACACCGCACGTAAAGCCCGCGCAAATTAGCGTTGCGTACTCCTCGCAAAATATATTGGTAAATGGTCATCCAAAAATATCGGCTACTGAGCTTTAGGTGTATGACCGCGCTCAAAGGGAGGAGGACGATAGGCCATGAAGGTTTAACATTGTATCATTACTTTGCGCGAACAACTTCCGTCTGGCGCACAATACAATAATTTTTTCAATGTACAAAGTAGTCAGAAGCCTGTGGCTCACAGGTTATGACAGAATGGTGATGCACACTGTTACAGATCTCGGAGCCAGTGGAGAAAATTTTAAGGGATAGAAATAACCCATTGGGTATAACATGAAATTTCCACACCAGGTACCTGACAACCGTACGGGAGACTTAGTAATGGAATGGGAGGACGAGAAACGTCTAGTGAGTGATGTGGACTGCTTACGTTACCTTAACTGGAACGTGGAAGCACATGTATGATGATGAACACCAAAAGAAGTCCGGATAAAGATTTACCTTGGGGGTATTCGGTCGAAGCGTGCGCTCTCCCCCCGGGTCCAATCAGTTTAATTGCTTCGCGGATTCGGTCCATCTGAAGAGCATGAGGCACAAGTGGAGCGGTGATCTTTAGAGTCTCAGAGTTGAATTTTAAGCTCACGAGAGTGAGGACATATAACATCTTCATTTCAAGCAGTTAGAAGAGAAAAATCAGAAAATATTTTTCCGATAAACTGAGGGCCCCGGTCGCATGATACCCATTTGGCGTCACCGCTGATTCTTAGTAGAACCAAGGTAGGGTTAATTAGCTACAATATCCTCACCGCACAAAATATGGATACCAGGCTTCCTCGGAGCTGATAACGGTCCGGGTAAATATATCCCGGATCCTGAGGTGAAATTATTTGTCAGTAATTCGATGGTCAGTAGTTATCGGGGTGGTCGGGTGGTCAAATCCATTACTAATTAGATCCTTTGTGGGCCCTAGGAAGATAATTTGGCATTCTTATTCAAAAAAGGCTGACGCGGGCTTTGGAATTCCGTTGAGTTATTGGATCAAGCAGTGCACAAAATGGATCGAAAGACAACTGAGGCAACTTGGGGCAACTCTTTGTGATGGAATGATGACAAGCTTGAAAATAGCCAGATAACCAGGTCAGTTGTGGTATTCAGCTGTGCAATATACTCTGGTAAATTTTCACTAGCCCCAACTAAGGCTTTCCTAATGTCTTAAACGAACAGCGGATGAATACCCTCCTCGTTTTACAGAGGAGAGGGCGATCCGTTGGCCAAGGCATATCAGCATCAGTATCCACGTGAGTTTTGGTTCACAAAAGTAGGCAGGTACTAAAGAGCGCTGTAAATATTTAGTGACGTAGACGAAAAAAGCAGACCCTTTGATGGAGACCCAAGAGTACAGCACAGCACTACAGCTCGTCCCTGGGAAAGAAAGGAACAAGTCTATCATTGAATCCACATGTAAATTGCAGAGTCATGATTGGCGCGAACTAATTAGCAATTCGGAACCCACTTTAGTAATTTGAAAAGTCTTTGGCTCGTTAACATTCTTCACACATGGTCGGTCCGGATCGGGTATTTGTTTCATCGAGGAGGAGAATTCGCCGTTTGTGAGGTGAATTTAAGTGGCCTAATTAGGAAGCTCTCTATCACCAAACATGGTATACTAAACAGAATATAATGAGGATCCAGCTATATGCAGTGACTAGTTTCGTAAATTAGTGAGCTCATCTTTTCACTCAAAGAGGGAGGCCGGCTTCGTAGACAGACTGACGAATCTCTTAGTAGAGCAGTTTAGGCAGGGTAAGCAGCCCTCACATCCGGATAACAGCGTAAAAACATCACCGCTGTGAAACACTCGGTACCAAGTGTTATGCGGAGGAATACGGACATACTTCAAAGCAGGAACAAATGGTTTGCAGCCTATTCGCCTATGTGCTTTACCCGTGTGGAGCAAGGTGAAGTTGGCGATCTAGAATAAATGTTCACTGAGTGTAAAATGACAAACAAGAAGTCAGTTTTAACTCCATGTAGATAATAATCGACTTAACCAAATTTCTTGCACCATTATTAAGGGTTGCTGCACGTCTTCCACTGCGGAACTCTTAGGCATTTAAATGGGACATTCGGCGCCAGCTGAGGTAATGCTGGTAGTCCTTGTTCTGGGCTCTGCTACTACCGGTATATTCCTCAAATTCAAAAGTTTTCACAGGATCAAAAAACCAAAACCTTTTGTCCAAGTGCATTAGTCCCCTAAGACTATTACTGTCCATTCAGAAACTTTGTGAACTATGAGAAAAACAAAAGATAACAGCGGTACTGAGCATCACCTTGAGACCAGTAAAACCGTTATTCATTCAATCTGGCTGATCCCCAGTCGACGCTCATATGGTCATCCAAATGAATGGAAATCATCCATGACTCATAATCGGCCTCACTCTGTCTATAGCAATCTTCTCATCTAACCCAGGTCCAACTGCCACGGAAAGGGGTATTTCCTCTCCGATCGCAGCACCCTTAGCGATCGTCGGTGGGCTGCCCATAAATTGAAGTATGGCATTGCAATGCTATCATTGCGGTCTGATGTCACTCCCGCAACTATTTTCTTCAGAATCTCGATTGAAACCTATCGCTTGAGCCTGTATTTGCATCTACGAGCAAATATTTCGCCTGGTTCTAAGTTCTAACCGGATGATCGTATCGTTCAGATTGAACCAACCGGGTTTTGCTGCAATTTTGACCTGTCCCTTCCACAAGTCCAATTTCATTAACGGTGTGTTCATTTGGGTGTTTATTTGACCCCATGCAATGCCACTATCTTCCCATCGAATCTATGCTTAACGCCTTATTTTCCTATATTAGTGGCGACAATGATTCTACTTAGTTTCATTCCAAACCTTATTTTTCATACAAGACCTGCCTCAACTTCAGATTATTCCATATCATTTCCATTTTTGCTTTTTGTGACCCCGGTTAATTACTTAACCGTCCAGAGTTACCGCCCAGTGATAGTTCTTATTTTTAATTCATGTCAACCGGCTTCAGTTTTTAACTAGATGTACCTCATGCCCATTGTTCTATTTTTTCGGTTCACATGACTGCAGTGACTTTCCACGTAATAAATATGTCTTGTTGGTTGAACCTCTCTAGCTGTTGTGTAGTTGCGCGCTGCGTTCGCCTTTTCACGACTCGGTCATGCCTTAATAGGCATTTTCCCTAAATGTTGGGAAATATAACCATTATTATTCGAAAATTCTCGGACTCACAGAGCAGTAAATGGTTGACTTTTTTTAAAGAGCCTTCTGCCTTTGCAGCAGGCGTCTCCGTAGACTAAGCCTGTGCCGCAAATTTTGACACAGCCAGTAAGTCTAACCTCACACCTTTGCACGGCCAGATACTATATTCGCCGGTATAATCACTCTTTGAGGGTCTCTCCCTCCCACCTGAAACACAACCACCTACTGGGAAATTTAGCTTATAAAGTACCCGCCATCCGTCGGAGCGTGACATGTGATGAAATAAAGAAGTGCAGATTGTTTTTAAAGTGTAGGATTCCGTCGTTGGATGTTTGAAAATCCGTACCGGGTGCTGTCTATCCAAGGTATCTACAGCTTTCGCATCGGATACTAACCCGATTCTTGTGTATGTGAATATATACTCCTTTGATTCCTTAGCTGATATGTTGTCAGTTTTGACCAAAACCCCAAAGAGTGTGGCCGTGTACTGCTGAAGGAATCTGACCTGTATCTATTCCCGCACTCAGCAACTCGCATTTTTTCGTCGTTTATCTGACGTCATGAACGTTGACGCCATGCATGACAAGTATGACGTTGGGTAGATTATTTGTGTGCATGAGACGTTTTTCGTGTAGTTACAAGCTATTGCGACGGATGGCATGAGCATTCGGCGACCCATCGGGTTTGTCTCTGTCGAAAACGTGAACTTTGCGCTTTTGCGCAAGCATATGATGGGCGGACATGAAGCCGACATGATGTTCGTCGTGGATAAAATCACATAACAGATGAGGACTGTCAAAGCGCCGTTTGGCTGCTACATTATATTGTGCATTCATTACTTAGTCGTAACTGTTGCAGACACTGTCCTATCTCAGCCGGCAAATATTCCACCGCAGGATCCGCCCTGATAACGCAACTGAGTGAGTGGCCGTGTAACTAACAGTAATCACATAGGTTTCGCCATGATTCGCAGATCCCGCGTAGAACCCATCCAGGCTTTGTCACTTGAGTGCCTACTGGTAGCATGTCGCTCGAACTTGCGCAGCGCTGGTGGATACGTTTCGGAAATATGACCACTAACCGTCTGAAGGACGCAAATGGGCATTTGATGAAGCGCGTGCATCACGCCGACAGCCAGAATTACGCCCTCCTGAAGGTTTTCTGGCACAGCGAATGGTTTATGCACGAGTACGAGATGCAAACCACATATAAGTGTGACCACTGACGAGTCCGTAGGGTGACAGCTACGTTCTTTGTGTGGTTTTTCGGATGACGACGAATGCTGTCAACCCAGTTCTTAGGCACATTGGCACATGTGGGCCAACTTCAACGTACTGTCAGATAGATCGTTGCAATTTTACAAACCTGTTGTCAGTAACCTGGATCCACACTCTCTGCAGATTGAAGTTTTTTAACACGTTCCAGGCAGGAAGCTTTTTCTTATGCCCTAATTCGCATCGTTTTTTTCCCGCCACTTTCAAATCCTAACGATCAGATCTTGTGTCATCTGATGTGTTCTCCACTAGAGATAAAGAGCCCTTGTAATTTTGGATCCCCACCCATGCCACCTCAGGTGTGATGAAGTCTTATTCGTTNTCCGATGTGTTCTCCACTAGAGATAAAGAGCCTTGTAATTTTGGATCCCCACCCATGCCACCTCAGATGTGATGAACTCTACCTCGTTAATGCCCACTGTTTACGTACCTTTTCCAGGAAATTCCCATTATACAAGTCCCCCATCGGTCAGGTTCTTATTCTGACTGTATTGCCACGATCATGCCTAAGGCATGCTACCCACTAGTT